TGTTCGTACAAGATTATGATTGGGTACGAAAGTAGTTCGTACCAATGTACATTGACTTCATACTCAACAGTTTTTATACTGTTTGTTCATACAAAATGAAATCATACGAGATGATCTTAAACGTACAGGTCTGAATAATTGCAATTTTTGGATGATTTTTTGTCTTTCTTATAAAAGGTCAACTTAAAACTGTCATACAATCTTTTTGTCACTTTATCTTCGTGAATGGTAAAGGGAGATTGAGGGAGAGAGTAAGAGAGAGTGTTTGAAAGATATTTCTTGTTATAGGAGCGTGAAGGGTTCACTTAGTTACTCAAGAGTATGGATCTCTGTGTGCATTTTATATTTTCTTCACTCTTTTCTCTTGTCATTCAAGATTTCTTGTGTGAAGATTTTTCAAAAGGATCTGGTTCATTGCTGACACTTGGAGAGTGTGAACAGCGGGAGGTTCTCTGCCTACACTTGGAGAGTGTAAAAGGATGATGATTCTCTTTCGCACCAGGTAGTGGTGGAAGAGAGTTTTGCGAAGGCTTCTCCGCCTTACTGTGGGGGTAAAATGAGAGACATTAGTGGTAATAGTGCAATAGCTGAAGTGGGAGACTTCAGGGAGTGGATGTATGACGTGTTTGACCGAACCACTATAAATCTTGTGTCTTTGATTTTTTTTGCTACTTTTTGTTTTACTATTTTTGCTTTTTATCTATGGTTGAAAATTGCTTTTTTAAATCAAAAAAAATTTAAATCGATTTAGGAGGAATATTTTTAAATTACCAATTCACCCCTCCTCTTGGCTAGCCGTTGGGACAGAAGCTTAGGTTTAACAACCTAATTCATATTTAACAAGTTTCAACAAATACATAATGGGAATGCAATTAATGAGCTGGTTACTTTTACTGGCACTCTCTCTTCTCCCCAGGATATTTCTTCTATAATTGTCCACCACTTCCGAGCTTTGTTCAACTCTCATAGCTCCCCTAGTCCTCCTCCTTCACCCGTTCTTATTGGCACATGTATCCCTCACCATCTTTTGGACACCTTGATTGTGCTTGTCATTGATGATGAGAACAAGGCTATGTAATCTTTGCTTCTCCTTCTAACCCTGCTCTTGGACCTCATGGCTTCACTTTTGAATTTCTTAAAAGAATGTGGAAAATATTAGGGCTCTTGTCTATTGAGTCAATAAGCATTACTTTCTCTCTTCCTCTATGACTAAATGTGCAAAAGCCACTGCAATCACTCTCATTCCTAAATCCTTGAATACTAAGGCTTTTTCTGACTGTAGGCCCATTTCCATCTGCAATGTGTTTTATAAGATTATGGAAAAAATTTAGGCTGGTAGGATAAAGCCTATTACGCCTCACATTGTCCATCCTAAGCAATCTAGATTCATCAAGGGAATGATTTCTACAAATAAAATCTTGCATACCTTTAAAATTTTGAAAGAGTTTAAAACTATTCCTTCTAAGAATTATTTTTGTGATATTTTTGATATTCACAAAGCCTTTGGAACTGCCACTAAGGAATTTTTTTCTTGGTAGGCTTTCTACTAAGGGCTTCCCTAATGACTTTGTCCCTTAGGTGAAAGGGTGTATTAAGGATGTTCATTTTTCTATTCTCTATTGGAGGTGTACTAGAGGGGGTGTTTTGGATCCTTTTCTAGTCTCACACATGAGTGCCTCCTATCCCCATACCTTTTTTTTTTCATTATGATGAATTCCCTTTCAATTCTTTTGGATAGTTCTAATACTCCTGCTTTTATGGGCCTAAAGTTAGGAAATCTAAATTTGTCTCGCCTCCTCTATACTGATGACTTAATTGTCTTTGGGTATGCATCGACTAGAAATGCTCCTTCTTTAAAAAATATTATTATTTCCTTCTCTTAAGTAGCTGATTACATCTTAATAATAATCAGATCTCTACCCATTTTTCTTATGTTTCTTCTAATGCTAGTGATGTCTAAAGAATCTTGAATATTCCTATTTTTGTGAGCTCTTTTAAGTATCTAGGTATCCCTATTTCCCTGAAGAGGATGTTTTTTTGTTAAATTTTTCTTACACTTCAAAAGATTTTTGCTCTTTTAGAATAATGGAGAGCCAAGTCTTTATCCTTTTCTGGGAGAATAGATTTTTCAAAGTTTACCATCTCTAATACCCTTACTTATTGAATAAGGGGTTCTATTTTTCCTAAGGGCTATTATAACTTCATTAATAAGGTTTTCTCTAAGTTTCTATTCCATGGTGATATCAATTAAAAAAAGCTTCATACCATCTATTGGAATGTGTCTTAAGGATCAAGGATTCATGGTGGTTTGGGCTTCCTGCCCATCCAAGATTTATACATTGGCTTCAATTTCTCTCTCATCTGGAGATTTATTAATACTGATAATCTTTTATCTAATTATTTGTGTAAAAGCATGAGTCCTATTGGAAGCCCCTCCCTCTTTCTCTTCCATCTTCTATTAGAAGGGTTGCTCCTCAACTATGCAAATCAGAGACAAAATTGCCATCAAGGTACCTCATAATTGTTCTCTCAATTTTCCTTGTGATCCTTAGTAGGAGGGCCTTGCTTTACATCATAGTCATGGTCTTGAATTTTTTAGACAATTCTCCCACACTCCCCTCTATAGCATGATTAACAACTCATACTGGGTGCTTCACAATCACTTGCCTCCCCATATCCACAACCTTATTCTCAACACTTCAATTGTTGAGGCTTCTTCCCCTAACATTCTCTGGCAACCAGAGGGGATCCTTCCTTTAGGTCTTTATCTTATGATTTCTTTGCTAACTTGCCTCAAGTTTCTTGGTATAAATTTTTATGGCACAAATGATATGCCCTCTGCTTCTCTTCTTCTACATGGATGTCCTTGATGGAAGGGTTTAAAACCTCTGACCTCCTACTTAAGCACAATACTATTGTAGACCCGCATTTCTCTTTATGCTCCTCCAATCTGCGCATTTCTCTTTATGCTCCTCAAATCTGAAATGTCACTCTCATTTGTTCTTTGTGTGAATTTTTTTTCTTTTTTGTTATATCTTCCATGTTTTATTTTTTTGATTGCTTTCTCCTAAGGCCTAACATGCTTCGGGTGTTTCAAATTATGGAGGATTCATAGAGTAATTCAGACTCTACAATTGTTTTTCTATCTTATTATTTCCTTCTCTATTTATTTCATTTGGAAAGAGAGGAATGATAGAAGATTTGGTTCTAGCATCTATAGTTCATCTACTATTTCTTACAAGATTGAAAAGGTTATCCTTCTTAAAATCTAAGATTGAAAATTTTTAATGATCTTAGGGATTTTCTTTACTAATTGTTTGCTTATTTTCTTAGTGATTCAAGGCAGATATGGCATGCTGGTTCTTTAGGTTATGATTTTTTGCTCCTGGCTTGGTTTCTTTATTGGTATTATTATTAAGAGTTCATTTTTGATGTTTTTGGTTGTTGGATGGTACTGACATGATTTTGTATTCTTCCTAGGCTATCTTTTGGGGTGTTTCTGGCTCAAACCCTTGGATCTCTTATGTTTGTTTGTTGTTTTTATTGGAGCTCCTTCTTTCTAGTTGGTTTGGGTTTTGTTGAGTTCTGTTTTTTTGGTTGGTACTCAATTTGGGCATTCTCTATTTTCGTTGTAGTGGTCCTTGATGGTTGCAGGCGCTCTCTCTGGTTTTTGTTGATTGATGTATGCTAAGTGAATTCGAGGCTGGTGGACCTTGATGAATGCTGAGTATATCATCTTTAGCTTCATCCCCCGTATGGTCTTAATGGCAACCAATCTAGTTTCTATTTGTGGAAGGTCTTTAGGTTGCTAGGGTAAATGTTGCTAACTTCATTTTTTGGGGATGCCCATTTTCAAAGCATTCTAATTTTGTTTGGATTTTGCCACTTTCTGGCCTAACATTTTTTTTATTGTAGGTTATTTTTTATTTATGTATACATATGGATATACTTTCTTCCTTTTGGTATGCAGTTGTGTATACTTGTTATATTTCTATTTTCTTCATAATCGATAATTATTTTACATAGTCGAATGAATTTGGGCTTTGCCCTCATTTTATCCAATATATATATAAGGTCTCGGTTGGAGAGAGTAAAAGAGAGAGAGAGATTATAAAAAAGCAAGTCACAAACTCACCGTTAGGGATAGAGACGGAGGAGACTAAAAAAAAGCTATAGAAGAGAGAGGTTGAGTCTTATGAAAGATATTTCATTCTTCATAATGCAGAGAAGTATAGACTCAACACAACTCTCCTTGGTTTGTTGGCTGAGTTTGATTCCCAAGAAGTCTTGAGTTCGAGTCTCTTATATGTATTGTGTGTGTTTAGGCGCTGCCACTAACACTCCCCCTCACAAAAAAAAAAGACTCCCGAAGAGAGAGAGAGAGAGAGAGAGAGAGAGAGAGAGAGAAAGAGATATGTAATTGTATACCTTAATCGTGCTGTCAAAGAGAAAACTATAGAACTATCGTCAAGGGAGATCTGCCATCAACTCATGGGGGAGGAGTCCCAGATATGTGGTTGTTGGGGCTTCATTTTCTCTTGCTATATTTATATATTTAAGGTTTTTAACTTTCTATAACAAGAATATTTTTTATTTTTTGGAACAAAATTATATAATAAGAATATAAGATCAAGGATAAGTTTGAAAATTACAATTTTTTTTTTATTTGGGGAGTGACGGCCCGTGCCTCCAAGACCCCTATTGTGAATCCGCCCTGGCCCTAAGCTTTCCCTCCCAAATTCACACCATGCAGCAACAGAGTAATAAGGGTTGCACACAACTAAAATGATTTGAATCTCTTCAATTACTGTGACAATTTCACGTTACTCAATTAACCCTATTCCAATCATACTATCCGCTTTGGATATATTGAAATAAATCCACCATTTCTTTAAATAATTTTGATTTGAATACCATCCCAATTATAAAAAATGAAATTTGGCAGCTTATATCATGCAATTCTCGTGACAACTACACGGGATCTTAATACCAACCAAACATCTCTAAAAGTCAATTCATCTACATTATAATTTAGAAGCCACTCAGCTCAATCAGTAGATTCAGTACATAGAAAGTAGTCACTAATGGCATCAAGGGTACACCAGAAATGAGCTCAACACAAGTTCCTCGTTGATCAGCAATACACAACACGTTAGAATCACTCAGCAAAAACACAGTTAAAATTCCCAACAGAAAAGTTCACCACTACTTCTTCAACAGTCCAATTTAATCAAGAAACAGGTTTTAATCTCTCCTTCAGCAATTGCAATAGCTCTCCCTTCTTCAGCTTTGAAAAACCCTTAATCCCTTTTCCCCTTGCAAGTTCTTTCAGCTCTGAAACTTTCATATCATCAATCTTTTCCATTTCAAACACCTCAGAACCAGCCTTATTTTCTTCTGTTCCCTCTAATTTCTGTGCTTTCTCCAGCTCATCTTCCTTATTCAATAAACTCTGTTCATCAGATGGCAACGATATTGGAATAGGTGACCTCCTTACAAATTTCGACAAAGGCCTCTGAGTTTTTGAATCCTCCTCCACCGCAGCAGCGTCTTCTAGTCCGCTTCCCCTTCTTCTTCCCTTCTCATTGGTTCTTCCTAACATCAAAACATCATCAATTTCTACTGAAACAGGAAAAAAAAGGAACTTTACTAAACTTCTGCAAACCTCTGGATGGATTGCGCTGGGGAGAATCGGAATCAGTAATCTCATTCCTTCTTCTCGGAACTTTAGCTTCTCCCTCCTTTGAGATGGAAGATTGAATCCTCCTAAACAATGCAAGTATCTCTTTGTTATCTGGAGATTTGGATCTCCGCTTCAATTCCTCGCTTCCTCCTTCTCTGGGCTTATCCGAGGAAACGCTGCGCTGCTGAGGACGCCTTCTTCTGCTTCCTTCTGATCTGATGATGGTTGAATTCGGCCATTGGAGTTGCCCTCGGCGGAGAGGAAGTGCAGAGATAAATCTGCAATCTATTTTAAGTTTCAATAAGCTGCATAGAAAGATCACATTTTTACCTCAGTGACGAGGAAAAGGAAGTAGAATAGGCTTTCTCTAGGATTCGGTTTACCCTTTTCTTGTATTAAAGATTTCGCCGGAAAGAAGACGTGCAGTATAGAGCGGAGACCACCATTGGCGAGTAGAACCGCTTGCATCGCCTCGGACTGCAGACAGTTGATTAAGACCTTTTCTTCTATCCTTATCCTCTCGTTGGTGGACTGCATTCAATTTAATGAATTATTTGGAAAAATTTTATATTAATTTTTTTTAATGAAAATTTTTACTTTATAACCTATTCCTTAAAAATTCTTTTCGAGTTAATTTACTTTTATGAAATGGTAGTACTTGATACATCATCAAAAAATTATCATGATCGGGACGAATCTCAAAGAAAAATTAGGTTAAAAACATCCAAAATTAAAATTGGTAACATCGGAACCCCGATTTTAACAAACTTACAATAGAATTGGATGTCTCGAAACTACGAACCCAATGACACATAATTTGACTTAATCCGAGCCCAAATAGGTCCAAATCAAGGGTCTGAAGCGTTGTTGGAAGGTTCGAACCACAATTTGGATTAACAAACGATTTCCAAACGTGACATGTTTATAGTCGATTTCGAGCAACTCGACGAGGCGAATCCAACAAACCTAAGGTCACGGAATTCTAACATCACTAAGACCTGCAAATATTTAATGAATGGTCAACAATAAAGGGATTCAACATCGGCTGTCCATCCAAACCACTCTCCATTTATCATTGATCTTCCTCCTATTTACGGGCCATGCCACTCTAGGAAATCTATAAATAGACCCCTCATTTCTCTTAAAAAGGGACCCCTAAGTCTAAGGAAAAAAGAGAGAGATCAGAGAATGCTCTTTCCTCCTTGACTAAATCCTAAGCTCCACGGGCCACCACTTGACGCCTAGTTTTTGCTGGACCACCATCTGACACCATGAGCTCCGCCGGACCACCACATGACGCCTGGAGTTTCGCCGGACCACCACTTCACACATTGGAGTTCCGCCGGACAACCACCTGATGCCTGGACTTCTGCTGGACGACCACCTGATGCCGAGAGTTCAATCGGACAACCACCTGATGCCCTGAGCTTCACTTGACCACCACTTAATTCCTGGAGTTCAATCAGACCACCACATGATGCACTGAGTTCCATCGGACTACCACCTTATGCCCTGAACTCCGCTAGACCACCACATTATGCCTGTATTTTTTTCCAGACCACCACTTGATGCTTTGAGCTCTACCGAACCATCACTTGAACCCTGGAGTTCTGCCAAACTACCACCTAACTCCCTAGGTTTCTTCGGACTACCACTTGATGCCCTAAGTTTTGTTGGACCACCACCTGATGCCCAGAGTCACGCCGGACAACCACTAGATGCCCGGAGTTCTGTCGGATCACTGCCTGACCTCAGAGTTTCTGTCGGGCCACCACCTAACACTGAAGTTTTACCAAACCATCGCTTAACTACCAAATGATGCTCAAAATTTTGAAGTAATGTGAGACATCCGCCAGTCCACCAAATGACACTAAACTTTCATCCCTGTTTGTCACTACATTTCAACCATACGATTAGCATTTATAATCTGATCTCCCTCATGTGACAAGTAGGCCCCCTGTAATCTACTCAAACTCTAGTGGAATCATTTTCAACTGGCCCCGACCCCATGGATTTCCACTTTCTAGGATTTTCCATGTAAAAAATTTTGTGTTTTTTATGTGTGAGCTGGATATCCGTGTAACACTAAGATTTAGTATTATAATTCTATCGCCGTGTATTTCTAGCTCGTAATAGTTTGACATTATATGTGGAAAAACTTCAATTGCACTATCCTAAGCACCACTTCAATGGAAAACAGGGGTAGCCAATGCATCTTGGGAGCATCATGCTCTAACTCACACTAATCTAGGAATCCTTCCATAAACTAGGGACACTAAGAATCTGCCTCTTTTCACCCCAGTGGGTGAAACCTTACTACGGAAGGGACACCAGGACCCTCTTTGGAAGATCATATAAGAAAGATGGAGAAATCTCAAATTGAGATACTTAAAATACTTCAAGAGACTCGGGGACTAGCGTTAGCACCAAAATAAGATATTCTTCTCACTCAAGATCCACGAGTGCTCAAAGATGTTCAACCTGAACATCTTCTTGTTGAGATTCCCCTTCCACTGCTAGGGATGCTCCCTAAGAAACATCAAGACAACGAGCTTGCTGATACAACAAGCTATACCTAACCTTTGCGCTCAGGTTTCCAACCTCGTATTCCTCCAGACGTCCCTGAGGACTTAGCCCGATAATATATTGTTGAACTCCCCTATAATGCCTATGACATGAACTGCAAAGTCTAGTCCGAGAGACAATCTAGGAGGTATAAGACAATCTCTTCATTAATGGAACTTCTAGGAGTCATCTCCCCTAATTGAAGCCATCATTCAACACCCCATTCTGGCCAGATTCAAACTACAGAGCATCAATTCCTATGATGGGACATTTCACTTGTACGAGCATATCAATCACTATAGGACCATTAAGCACATACAACGAGCCTCTGATATGTTCCTCTGCTAGGTCTTTCCTGTTACCCTCAAAGGGCAAGCTCGAACATGGTTTTATTCACACCGCGTCAGAACCATTTTAATATTTATCAAATTGGCCAAAGTGTTTGTCAAATAATTTGTTTCCAATTAGAGAATGGTCAAAGACTCTACCCACTGCTCAGGACTTTGCCATAATAAAAATGAGTCTCTTAAGGAGCACTTTTAAAGATTTTCTACTAAGGCCCGACTAATTTCAGGGGTGGATTTTGAGTTACTTAGAGGAGTTTTTCTCAAAGGGCTTCATCCTAGCCCCTTTTACTTAGCACTTATGTGAAACACGGTCCATTCATATGCTGATCTAATCCATCGTATGGAGACACAAATCTCCATAATGAAGTCAGTAGTGCTCATAGGAAGCAATTTGACCAAACAACTAAGAAGCATGAAAGTACCTCAGGGATAAAAAATCATCCTCACTGTGGAAGAACCAAGAGAACTACATTTTGCCCCCTCGACCCCCACATCTATGGCGAGACCCTTGCCAAGAAAAGGAGTATACACCACTTAATGTATCACAAGCAAAATTGTTGATGGCCACTTGAGACCAGGAGAACCAACAGTGGTTGTATCCTTTGAAGCCCAACTTAAAAAATCATGAGTAATACTACCACTTCCACTGTAGCCATGGACACAATATTAAAGTATGCAGACAAATTAAGGAGTAAATTGAGAGACTAATTTGACAATGATATCTCTGATAATTTATCCAAAAGTGACCTGTTCAAGATGAGGCTGGTTCTACTAGGGGAAGAATCAACAGTAGAGGCAATCCTCAAACAGTTATCAAGAGGATGGTGAAATTGAAACCATTATTGGGGGTTCTTCAACAGTGAAGGATATCATCATCAAACCATTAGATAGCAAGGAGTTAACACAGAAGAAGTCTCGTACTGATCACTCTATTACTTTTGATGATCCTGAAATAGAGGGAATAAATATGCTTCATTAAGACCCACTCGTATTTAGTGTAGGGATTGGGGACCCATGCTATAAGGTTAAGAGGATCTTGGTCGATAACATGAGCTTTGTAGATATCATATTCTCTCCACTTTTCTCAATATGGGCCTCCCTAGAGAGAAACTACAGTTGTCCATAAGTTCATTGTACAAATTTAACAATCGACCTATGTGAGTGGAAGGAATGAGAAGTCTTCCCATTATACTTAGAGAATTCCCCCAACAAGTTACACACTCTATCCAGTTTATTAGGGTAAAATAAAAATCGTCCTATAACACTTTCTTTGGATGGACACTCTGATCAATCTTTGAGATTATTTGTTTGATCCCTCACCTTAAAATGGAATCTCTCAACCCAATTGGAATTAGTATAGTATGAGGAGATTAATAAGTAGCACAATCCTGCTATCTCAGGTAGGCTCAACCTCACCCATTAGTTACCTTAAGTATTGAAGATTTTTATCTACAGAATGAGGACATTCCTCAAACGCCTTCACTTATAGAAGACCTTGCTTATGTCTCTCTATGAGATGAACATCCTTCAAGAACGGTACAAATTAGATAGCTTTTCTTAAATAAAGTGAATATAATTTATGTAGATTTTCTTTATATAAACCAAGATATTTTATCATGGAGTCCAGCCGATATACCTGAAATCAACCCCAAAGTAATCATGCACTCCTTCATGCACTATTTCATGGTTAACCCGACGTACAAGCTAGTAATCTAAATGAAGTAAGACTTTACACCAGATTGTCAGTAAGCAATTAAACAGCAGGTTGATAAGCTTTTAGAAGCTAGATTTATAAGGAAAGCATACAAACCCACTTGGTGTGAAAATGTCATCATGGTTTGAAATGCATGTGGAGCCTGGAGAATGTGTGCAAGCTATACATGCAAGTGGAGCCTGAAGAATGTGTGTAAGCTATACATCTCTCAATAAATCCTACCCCAATGATAGTTTTTTGCTTCCCCATACTGACCAGTTGGTCGATGCCGCCTCCGGACATCAGTTGCTGAGCTTTATGGATGTATACTTCAGATACAACAAAAAAAAGGTAGATCTTGCTGATAAGGAAGCAACAACTTTTCAAGCAGATAAGGGGTTGTAATACTATCTGTTGATGTCATTTGGGCTAAAAAATGTTGGAGCAACAAATCAATGCCTTATGAATAAAGTTTTCAAAAATCTTATTGCGCGCACTATAGAAGTTTATGTCGATGATATATTGGTAAAGCTTCTTAAGAAATCTCAACATATACCTGACTTGGAATGATGCTTCCACATACTACGATGCTATAATATATAACTCAATCCTATCAAGTGTGCTTTTGGAGTCGCCTCTGAAAAGTTCTTAGGGTTTTTGGTAACCCACCAAGGGATTGTGGTCAATCCTGAGAAGATCAAGGCACTAAGGGACATGGCACCCCCAAGAAATATCAAGAAAGACAAGAAAATAAATGGATGTATTGTAGTGCTCTCTCATTTCCTGGTTTGTTCAGGAGACAAATATTTAGCCTTCTTCAAGATCCTTGAAGGTACTCATAGTTTAGGATTTCAATGGAATGATGAATGCCAAGAAGACTTCAAACAATTAAGACAGTATTTGGCATCCCCGCCGCTAC